ATATTTATTAATATTTTAATCATGTTTCAGGAATATTAAAATATAATACCTAGGTTTATTATATAAGTGGATATATAACCTCTATAGAATAGTCTTGTAATATTAAAAAAATATTTATGATATTTTCGAAATATTATAACATTATTTTAATTTTTTTAATAATATTCATGTAACATTCTAGGAATATTTTGCGCTTATAGGGTATAGAGCATTTATGTAATAAAATATCATGAATTTAATAATGTATTAGTCAAATATTTATGTTAATAATAGCAAATTTATATCAATTGTCGATAATGTCAGCGTTCTTCGATTACCTCCGGGCCCTTGGGGCCCTTTTTATACCGCCAAAAATTTGTCCAGGATTGACGGTCTTTAATAGTATCTCGTCGGTGGTCTGGTTAAGCCGTGTAAAAGCGTAAATAGGTTTAATAATCCGTTCTATATTTAAATTCATCACTACGTGTGTCTAATCAAAATTGTTTTTATGCCGGATTGCATCAATATTATTCTATGTGAGGCTTTAATATAATTATTTTATTTATATGAGACATTCTGTTAGCTTTTGTTAATTTTATTATACGTAATTAATTAAAAAAAATATTTTAGAGAAAATCAAAATGGTACAAGGTTGTTGTATCATTGGTTGTACTTTTGGAAAGACATTGCCTACACATAAATTTCCCAAAAATGAAAAAAGATGTACTGAATGATTAAAGAGTTTAAATATAAATAACATAAAAGATTATGATGGCAGCAAAGTACATAAATTGAAGATGCTTCGAAGCATTTGTAGCGTCAAATGGACTGCAGCCTATATAAACGCAGTCATATTCCATCATGGTCATATTCGAAGTGGACAGTCTCATGGTGGAATTATGCGGGGTCTACAATAGAAAGGCCGTAGCACAGACTCTTGCATAACGCATAACGCATAGTGCATAAGCGAATCAGCTAATCAGAATCTTTCATTTCCTTCCATTCCATGGAAAAGAAGAATTTCGATTGGTCGATTCCCTTATGCACTATGCATTATGCGTTATGCAAGAGTCTGTGCTGCGGCCAGTAAGGTCTTAAGTCGTAGAAAATTGACCAATTGCAGTTGAATATGAGAAGAATACTCAACTGTGATTGGTTAATTTTCTACGACTTAAGACCCTACGATTGCTACGACTTCTATTGTAGACCCCGCATAAACAATGTGACTCGTTCACGCTGTAAAAAAGCTCAATTTCTGATTGGTCGAAATCTCAGATTATGTGACGGGTCCTCCGCCATTAAGCCCAGTGTCCACGATGCTAGAAATCCGTCCAAGATCTCGGATGAAGAAAGAATTGACCAATCGCATTGATCATGTGACTAAATTGTTTAAATGTGATTGGTTAATTCTTTCTCTCTCCGAGATCTCGGAC